CTTTTTAACGAGGAAGAAGCTTCAGATGTGCTGCATTTTTCGCAAACAAATGAACCTTTAGGAGTACCAGCAGCCAGACAAGAAGCATGACATTTTATTTTTACACGATTTACAATCAACGGGTTTTTGCTGACGATAAATTTTTTTGACACATTTAACATACCCCGTTTTTTGAAATTAGTTGTTTTTTGAAATTAGTTGTTTTTCTTTTAAAAATATAAATTTTCAATTGATTCAAAGTAATTCAATTCAAATTATTGTTTATTGCGAAAGAAAATTTTTTTATTTACTTAATTTACTTTATTTATTTGTTTTTTCTTTTTAATTATTTATTAAGAATTTTTTTTTTCTTGCTTTCACCAAATTTTTGTTTTTTTCTTCGATACTAATAAATTTTTAATTATTGCGATTAATAATAATTCCCGTTGTTCACCCCACAATGAACAGAATAACAATGATATTAATGCATCTCATATCTTTGTTTACTATAGTCATGTTTGTTACAAATCTTCGTCCGGATTCTTACATGCCGTATACGCCAAAATTAAGTTTCGAGTAAAATGAGTTTGAAGTTAAGAATGGAATATTTTCTAAACCAGACGATAGGATTTTTTATTTTTTTGATATGTGGTTGTCACCTCAAAGATGTTTCTAAAAAAAATTTTTCCGGACTATGGCACTTACCGTTTACAATATTTTTCCTAACGGCAAAAAAAAAAATCACTTTGCCGCATACGCCATCCTAAACGGTATTTCCGGGCGATTCATAGGCACAAACGGCAAATGAATAATAACGGAAAAATTTCCAAACTTTATGTTTAATAAAAACAACTAAAAAATATTATTTAGCATGTATTTTTATTAATAAATTTAATAAATTTTTAAACATTAATATTTTTTATTTGAATTTAATTCAATAACTCAAGTATATATAACATATAACTTATGTTTTGTAACAAGTTTAGAATCAGAACAGTCTTCGGACTTTTTTTTATTCTAAAACACTTAAATTTATCTTAAATACAATAAATAATACTGACAGCCTTTTAATTCAGGTGGCTTTTCTATAAAGAAAAATTAATAAAATATGAAAAATAAAATTAAGTTACAGAAAACTTTCTGTTTTTTCTTATAATAAAAAACTTAAATTTAATAAACACCTTTTAATTCAGTTGGCTTTTTTAAAAAGCAAAATTTATAAAATTTACTTTAAATTTAGTTTTAATGTGTCAATTTTTTTTATTATGAAAATAATAATAAATCATCTTAAAAATAATAAGAGGCCACAGCAGTTACACAGACTTATAAATTTCCTTATACTCATTACATAATATTTATATAGGAACGTTTTAACATATTTAATAAAATAATCAGTTTTTAATTTTACTTAAGTTAACATTTTCTTATGTTAGCATAGTTTCATAATAATTTTTATCCTTTGTAGGTATGCGAAAAGTGATTTTATGTCGTCTACTAATATAATATCTGCAATTCTAACCTGTAGTCATCGAAAAAAATATTTAAAGAAAGACTCCAAATATGTACTATATATAATTATATTAAAGAAAAAGTGAAAAAAATGTGTTTTGTAATTTATAGGTATATACGTTTTATAGAACATTCTACTTTAAGAAAAATACAAATGCGTAATGTATTAACAACTAGACTTTTTTTGATTAACCAGTTTTTTTTTGTATTTAAGTACAATCAAAGAAAATGAAAACAAGAATTTGTTTTTATTTTCAACGCAACTATTTGCATCAACAACAATAAATTTCATGCATCTTGTTTTTTATATGCAAAAGTAAGCATTAAGACATTCCTGCTATTTCTTAATTACGCATAGTAAAAACAAAAACAATGCGCACCGCACCGTAAGCAACTAGCTACAATAACAAGAATTAAGGTAAAATAAAAATAAAAATTATAGGTACCTCATTGTAAATATAACAAGTTTTATCCTTTTTTACTACCAAGGTAAAATTAAAATACACATAGCGGCAAAAGTCTACGTACGCCTGAAGAAATTAACTTAATGTTCTTATAATTTAAAAAAAAACGTAAAGTAAGTCCAAAATCATATTTTATTTTTAAATTATAATATTTTTATAATATTTTTACATAATAAAAATAAATAAAGCTTGTTCGAATTCATATGCAAAAAATGACCGTCATAAGTCTACGTACGGTTACAAAAAAAAGTAATCTTTTCATTTGTATTAGAAAAATTAATACGCCGTAGCATTGCCTTTAGAAAAAATTATCGCCTCTATCCGCTTTAAATTTTCTTTTAAAATATTTAAATAATCAAATCTGTTCATTGTGCTTTCAACAAAAACCAGGTTCCCCACCCCAGCTTCCGACATACAGCCTCACACTAAAACGTTACCATCCCCATGTTTTATAGTACCACCCATATTACGTTTTTCTAGGGATGTATCAGGCTTCCGCCATACCTTAGTTCTACCGTCATTCGTAAAAATATTAAATTTACTCTCGTCGCTAAAAATGACTTGCGACCAGAAGGTATTTTTATATTTCACATGCTCTTTGGCAAACTTCAGCCTCTTTTGTCTATTTTTTTCATTAATAAAAGATTTCTACGCGCAATTCGAGTGTTGTAGATTCACTGGCTCGTTTCCCAGTTATGGTTTCCATCTTGGGGACTAATTTTACAGCTGCAACTTTAGCGTCAATTTTTATTTCTCCCTCTATTGCTCTTTCATCTACAGCACTGAAAATTTTTGGCCTACCTGGTCGTGGTTTTGACGCTAAAACTCCCGTATTTTGAAAATTTTTAATAACGGTTTGAACCGTAGATTTACTTCTGTCAATCATATTAGCTATTTCGCCTAATGATTTGCCACCCACATGTTGTTTGACTATCAATTCCCTCAACTCAACAGATAACTCCCTATTTCTCGTACTCATTTTATAAAAATCCTAAATATATGGCTCCTATCAATACGTTGTGCATTCAACAAATTATTGATATAAATTAAAAACCTATAAAAGCCTCCCTCTAATGATTTTTAGTTCTATTTCATGTTTGAGCAACGGTAAATTGAATTCGAATTCAAGTGTACGTAGACTTTTGACGCCAAAATTTTTGTTTTCATTTTAATCATGTTTTGCTAAGTTTTGTTGTTGTTGTTTTTAAAAAAAAAAACTGTATGCAAAAATATTATAAAAATATTATAATTTAAGAATAAAATATGATTTTGGGCTTATTTTACGTTTTTTTTAAAATTATAACAACATTAAGTTAATTTCTTCAAGCGTACGTAGACTTTTGCCGCTATGTGTACGTACTTTTTGATATTTCTGATTACCTAATACTATTTTTAAAATATTTAATTTAAATTTCCTTATCTGCTGGACAACCCCCGGCAAAGGAAACTCATGTAAACAAATCATGCAAAGTCTCAAGTACGCTGAACTCGGACAAGTAAACAACTTGCTTTGCAACCTTTGACCTACTTTATAGTTCATTGACCTGGCGGCCACCTCAGCTACGTACATTCATATGTACATGGGTCATGACACACTTAACACTAGATGTACCGGCAATTTTGCTATACCTATTTATACCAAAACCAGTCATTTTGACTGTATTTGAAAGTTTATAATATTTTATAACATACCATTTAGAACAATTGATAAGAAGCATTGAAAAAATTTTAAATTAATAAAAACTCATCATTTGTATTATCAAGTACATATTTATTCAAAAATGTTATTATTATTACAAATTTTACAAATACAAACTTTTTTTTCTGTTCATTTTCCACAAACAAATTTTTTACAGACTTTACATTTTATTGTGGTCTTGTTGTTGTTACAAAATCCTACTTGACACCATTTACGTACTGGGCGGGGGTTGTTAGGTATTGGACGATGAATGTTATTTGCGCTCTCTTGTCTTGATGATCGATAATCAGATGTAAGCTCGTCAGCCAATTAAAACAAAAAATCTTTCCTAGAAATCTTCTTTCCCGTAATATTTTTATACAAAATCCAGGAATTAATTCCGGCAAAATCTAAAATATTGAAAAATACTTGAAGTGGCCACCTTCTGGATCCTGATTTCGTACTATACTTCCTCGCCATTTGATCCGTCACATCAACACCAAATTTAGTCTTATTATAAAAAGATATAGTTTCAGGTAGTTTCTTGGAGCCTGTATCACATTTGACGCCTTTGTGTTTAGTATTCAATAAAATAACTTTTTTTTTTTAGCTTACTCTTATAAACTGTAAGCGTACAGTTATTTGTTTCATATAGAAACGTTGAAAAACGTTCCATACTATCTTTTTTTACTTTGCATATTTTTTGAAGTTCCCGTTTGTTTGAACGTACTGTACCAACCAATGTTGTATTTTGGTCTAATAATTTTGAAGCCAAGGGAAGGCTCGTAAAATAATTATCGGCTGTCACACACCTACCTTTCCTGTTATAAGGTTCTACCAATTTTGTTACAACATACTCACTGAGAGGAGTTGATGAATTTCGTGTTTCATCTTTCCCTAAATATAGACTGATCATATTTGTTCAAAGTGAAAACGGTACAAGGACGAAAAACTTTTTTTTTTTTTTGGGAAAAAAATTAAATAAAAAATTTTTGTTCTTCATTAATATAATTAATTTATTTTCTTTAATTGCAACAATTCATTTCATTTCATATATGTATTCATGTATTTTTTCACTTAGCAGTAGAAATAGACGGTGTTTCTTCACGATTTAAATATTTTTCTGTTGAACTTATTTTCCGCAGCAAATTTTTATCTCTTACTATAGGTTCTTCTGAAAACGCAGTATGCGTACGCATTTCTAACTTAAAGCTAAAAAAAACTTTTTCGCATTGATTGACAACTGCAAAAAATTGTCATTTGTTTTGTCGTAGTAAAAAAGTTCTTGCAAATCTTTATCTAAGTCATATTTGAAAATGCAGTTCTACCAATAGTACAAAATTGAAGTTGTTATTTTTTAGACATAAAAAATGGATTTAAGGAAAAAATTAATTAAAAATTATAAATTCGAATATCTAACAGAAGCAAATCGAGATAAGAGTTTAAGAAATTTTATTAGAAAGAAAAAATCGCGTAATATGGTACTTTTAATGTACATTCAAAAGTATAACAAAATGCTTATACCTAAAGTTGCGAATTATATGAAAGTAATAAGTTTGATGCCGAATCATATATATTTTTCACACTTTAGGATGGAAAAGGATTGTTTTACGGTAATGTTTTTAATTAAATATGATATGCGTGGCATACTTTTATGTTTCATAACATTTTTTAGAAATTATTGAAAAACTTGCAACCTCAGTGGCACACATCAAAATATGGTAGACCATCAATACCATTAGATTTAGCACTTTACATAACCATTTGGTTTCTTGGCAATAAGGGAATTTGTTACCGTGATATTTCGGATAGATTTAACGTTTCTTTATATGCTGCAAATGAGTCAGTGAAAAAAGTTACAAAAATGATTTCTAATCTAAGTACAATAAAATGGCCGAATCATGAGCAACATAATGTAATCATAAATAACTTCAACCGAAATAAGAAGTTTCCAAATATTGCTGGTGCAGTTGATGGAACCCATATAAAAATTGTTCCGCCCACATTAGAACAGAAAAGTTATTATAATCGGAAAGGGTTCTACTCAATTTTAATGCAAGTAGGTCTATTTATTTTAATATGTTAGAAAATTTCTAATAAGATATTTTTTTAAGGCGATTTGTGATTCGAACTTCAGGTTTCTTGATGTATTCATAGGATGGCCTGGGCGAGCACATGATGCATCTGTCTGGCATAAGAGTCCTATTGGTAAAGCCCTTAAAGAAGGTACACAAACTCTCCCAAACAACAGTCATTTGGTAGGGGATTGTGCATATCCACTCCATACCTACTTAATGACACCATTTAAGGACTACGGAAAACTTACAGAGAAGCAAAGGAAATTTAATTATTATTTGAGCTCGCAACGTGTTCATATTGAACAATCCTTTGGTATTTTAAAACAAAAGTTTAAAATTTTAGATTTTATAAACTGTAGAGACCTATGCCAAGTTAAGTACATTGTTATGGCATGTGTAACTTTACACAATTTTATAATAGATAACAGTAATGAAAGACTGGATGAAATTATATATGCAAATTATGAAGAAGAAAGTGATGTATTTGCAGATAATGTCGATGAACACGATATAGAAGCATCTACTAAACGAAATGAACTTTGTGAAAAAATTTGGAATATGTAAATTTGTTTTGAATATTTGAATTGAATTCAATAATAATATTGTTTTTCTTAAAATTTATGTTTTATTTTTGTATTTCAATCAGTCATAAACAAAAACTTAAAAAAAACTATTAAGTAACTTAATTTGCGATTTCACAGCTTTATATTCACAGTATTAAAAAAATATGTAAGCACATATACACATACATATATGAACAAGTTTGTACCATTTTCCTTATTAAGGTACATAATTATTAGACCCATCAGACATTTCTTTTAACAACTGAAGCTTTTGTTTTTCAATTTCTAATTTTTGTTGCTCAATTTTTATAAAATCTTGATGACGTTTTTCTTCCTCTTTTTCAAATTTTTCCAAAAATAGGGTAATTTCACTTTTTCTTTTTTTTCGCGGTGCCACATTTTCTGATACATCTATATGATTAGGGTTATTATTTTCAGACTCTTTTAATATTGATATATCTCCAGCTACTTCGTCACTTTCCAAATTCAAAGAAGATATCAAATTTTGTTCCGGCGGTGAAATAACGTGAGTAGTTCCATATATTCTATCAAATGTTTCATAATACTCCCAATGAGTCCTACTGTTTCCAGATTCCTTATTACGATTTTTTACCCTTTTGTATGTAGTAAATAAATTATTAAATTTTTTACTACATTCATCGACGGTGAAAGGAAAATTTTTATCAACATTTTTGATTTTCCGAAGACATAGACGCCATAACACACTCTTTTTCCTTTTTTTTTCACTAAAACACTTTTCATCGTCCAGTCTCATTTGAATTAAAAGTTTAATTTTTGCACTATCCCAAAATCTTTCTTCTTGTAAATTCCTTAAATTACTAGAATTTATTTATTTACAGTAAGTAGAAAAAAAAAACTTACGCTAATAAATCTTCTATATCATCATCGTCCATCTTGCTTAATATTCAATTTAAGTTAGCGCAGTTAGAAAATTAAAAATGCGATGTTGCGTGAAGTTTCTGAAATATCTTAATTGCAGTTGTAGTTTTCAAAATGGCTGCTACTGCAGTTCTGAATTTTTAAAAACACTGCTTTGTAGTTGAAGCAGTTCTTATTAAACAAATGTGCTGCAATTTAGTACTAAGTTAGAACTGCATTTTCAGAAAGACCTTATCTTGTCATAAAACTTATCGCAGTCCATATCACAATTTTGACGGATAATCAACATAGCCCTCATAGTTTCAACATTTAACCTATTTTTCTTTTGACCAGCTGCTGTTCATCATGGAAAATATTCTTTCCACTGCGCATGTACTTCCGGGCAGGCAAAGAACATATTCCACTACATCGCTAAAATCCTTAAAGTCCAAAGATTTGTCGTTCATTTCAGAAAATATTTGAACCCATCTATCAGATACATTCATGTTTTCCTCATTCCATCTATCCGTCTTTCAATGTCTGACAACTATTGCTTTTATAAGCGACCATTGCTCAAATACAAGATTTTCATTAATTCGCAAACACAGCGCGTCATTAAAACTCTCTTGTATTTCATTCCATTCTGGCAATTTTTTCAATAGTATCCATTCAAACCTGTCAGCATTTCCTAAACTAGGCTGCCATTTATTTATATATTCTAAGCTGGTTTCATAAAAGTTTTTTACTACTTTAAAAAACGTTTCCTCAGAAATATCTCCATCATCAACTAAAGTTTTTAGTTTATTCTTAACACCACTTGTTATAAAAAGTTCAGTTTTCTTGTTTTCTAATATGATAGTAAGAGTTTTGATAGTACTAGCTACTTCTGTTGCTGAAATATTTTGTTTTTCTATCATACTTGTATATTTTTCAAACGTCGACATTTGATCTTTGATGAATAACAGCCATAATTTTGTGCAGGGATTTTCAAATAAATTTTTTAACATTATCGGACATTTTTGTTGAGACAGAAAATATGAGCGTACCATCAAACATGCTTAAAATTCTGCTAATTGATGGACCTAAAGACAAAAATCTTGTATTTCCGTGCTCTAATAATTGTGCATAGTTGTTTCCCACAAATTCACAGAAGTTTTTAAGTTCTTCAACTCTTACAGTATATATATGAAAGTATTTGTATATTTTCACTGCAAAACATTCAATATCGAATGGGAGGCAATCGACAGCACATTGAAGACAATTGTGAATAATATGTGCTCCGCAACCAATGCCAATAATCTCTCGACCCAGTTTATTTTCAATTTTCCGCCACACATTATTCTTTCCAACTCTATTACAACCTCCAAAATTTGTATTTGTATTATCGGCACACAGAGCAACTATTTTTTTATGTAACAAGTATTTTTCAATTATCTTTTCCAACATTTTGGTTTGTAGTTCAGATGTTTCACCTGGTAAACAAACATAATCTAATATCTTAACTTTAAGCCCATAGAGAGGCAAAAAGTAGCGCACAAGAACAGGAAATAGTTTTTTGTCTTTCTTGTTTGATGCATCTAAGCTTATTGTAACGCTTTTAGTTGTTTTTAGCTCCATTATTAATTATTGCAACTGCCTTCGTACTTGCAGAAGAATATTTTGGTTGATAAATTTTTTTTATCAATTTTGAGAAGCAATCATTTGAACGAAAACTTTGGTTCTGGCGTACAGTATAAAAGGCAAAAAGAGCTTCACAGGCTGCAATGTTATCACTTTCTTCATCGCCATGTCGTACAGCAAATGATGTAATTTTTTGAACCGAACTCAAAGTTTTCTCAGCATTTTTATGTTTCTGGCTGCGCAAATGTTGATTAATATCACTTCTACCGCCATGTGCAACAGAAAAGTGAACATTACAATGATTGGCAAATTACTTTTGTTTTATCATTATTATCTATATTTAAATCCAACTTGATAAATTTAAATTCTTTCTGAAGATCTTCATTAAACGTACATTTTCTTCTTTTTAACATTTTCAATTTTTGCTTTTCAATTTTTGCGTTAGAATTAAATTTTTATGAATATATATTCTAATTTTCAATATTCTACTAAAACAACCAACTCACTACACAAAATAACTTGAAACTAGCAAAAATTTAACGATAGTGTCGGTCGATAGTAAATAAATAAAAATGTTAAGCCCACTATGATTTAATAACTGGTATTGACCTTTTGAAGTGTATAGGTGATACGAGTTTAATTATACGTTTTTAGGAAGTAAGAAGTTTTAGGAAGTTGGCCTGAGAAGTTAAGTTACGAGTTGAGGAGTTGTCTGGTTTAACAGGTCATTAATCTTGTTTACAGAATGTTGTCGAGGTCGTGTATTGCTCGACTCATATAGATTGAAAATATATTTTATGTAATGGGATATCAGGAAAGAATTTAAAATTATTACTAAATTTATTTTTCTATAAGGATGATACGTGGTTATGTAATTATTAGAGGTAAAAAGAAGAAAAAAGAACATGCATGTAAGAATTACGCATAAGAATAAAAAATTCTTGGTGCAATGACATAAACGCATATTATTATTATTATAACGTACTTATATTTATTTTTAGAATCTGAAGAGACGAAAACAAAAAAATATGCTTATAAGAGTTGCGCATAAGAATAATAAATAGGAAAAGATTCAGAGTTACCTTTATAAAGCATTTGTTTTTCTTTTGCTGTTTTTGTTTTCTGTCTTTTGAGTAGATATCTTTTTTCTTTGTTCTCTATTAATACCACGTATATAAAAATAACATTAGTGTAAGATCAGGGAATATGTTATTAAACTTTATATTAATTATTCCTTTTATTACACAAAATTGGTACCTGTAAAGTAATAAAAATAAAAAAATATACTTTCGTTTTTAGTGTTTTAATAAATCCAGATTTTGAACAAATACATATTTATTGTTGTTGGAATCTCTCTTCAAGTATCTTTTTTCGATGACTACTAGTTAAAATAGCAGATATTACTGGTCCACATTTTTGTATACGCCTTTCAAACTGGTTTCTATCACGTGCGAATTCTTCGTACATTCCTTTTCGAGCAGTTCTATAAGCAAAATCCCATGCAATCATGTTATAAATTTTTAATTTCATATTAAAGGAAACTTTTTTAGAAGTTTTGATTGAAATCATTATCTTACTTAAACATATATCTGTATATAAATTGATTTACTTATACATATTTAATTAAGAATTTTTTTCTTTATCAAATGCATGTAAATATTTATAGAATTTTTTACGGCACATCTTAATTTGTTTGTTCCGTTATGTGTAGTTATTGGGCATAATGATTTATAATGCTCAATTTTTAGCAATGATGGTATACGTTCAGTTAAATCTTCTATTTTAGAGTTGTTAGTAAACTGTTGCAAAAACACCTTTTTTTGAAGTCCCTTAACATAAATTTTTTCAGCTGATTCTAAATAGTGTTTAATGATATTTGGTACTTGTGAATATTCTATGATGCCGCTATTCCATTTTAATCCGTTAATGTTATCTCCACAGAATTGCGCATTATATTTTGATTTTGCGGTAAGTTCTTGTTCGGAATAAGAAGATTTAAAATAATATACTATTGGAATTATGCTTCCTTTTTCTAGTAAAGCCAATTCTTTTACGAAATATTGCTTTTCATTTCCTTGGACGAATTGTAGGTCAGCAATAAAAATCTGATCACTCATAGTGATGATCACTTGTACTCGATGAAAGTTCAAATGGAAATAAAAGTGGTAAAGCCATTACAGGAATTTATATTCAAAAGATGTTATAAATATAGGTAAATAGGGTAATTTTTTTATTGTTATAATGTTTTTTCATCCATTTACAATGATGGTGGCAGGTCCATCATGCTGTGGAAAAACCACTTTTATACATAATCTGTTAAAATATAAAAAAAACAATATACAACCTCCCATAAAAAAAATAATTTGGTGTAATCCTGACAAAACTGCAGTTCCCCAATTTGTAGAAGGACTTGAACATTGTACTACTATTCCAGACTTAAGTGACAATCAAAAACCTTTATTAATAGTATTAGACGATATGATGTTAAATTCACATGACAAAGCTGTATGTGAATTATTTACTAGAGCATCACATCACAGAAATTTGTCTGTATGGTTTTCTAAGCAAATAGGGCTTTGAAACAGTCTGTTGCAATCTTTACATAAAATATTGTTTCCATTTGATCGGCATTGTTGTAATTGTTGACAACATGGGCATA